TCGGTCTCATAGTATTCTTGCCATTCACTCCCATCATCATATGAATCATCAGCATGCATGATATGTTGATGGCCCTTGCCCTTCGCAAAGCCCTTGGCCTTGTTGGTGTTGGGCAAGTAGGTCTGCCTGTAGTCCTGGCCGAACACCTGATACATGCTCTGCTCGACATTCTTCAGGGTGAGGTTTCTGCCGACCTGAGTTTGCACAAGATGCTGCTGATCCTTGGTGAGTGCGGCATGCCTCAGAAGCAGCCAACCTGTGATCTCATCAGGCAAAGACACCTTCAGACGTGAGACTTCCCTCAAGGCTTGATGAAACTCTGTGACATACTCCATGAGAGTTTGGCCAGTCTTCCGTTGAACCTTGAAGAAAAAGGTGTCGAAAATGTTGCTAGTTTCCACTCGGTCATCATACTGCCACTGTTTGTCTAAACGTGCTAGAAGGACATCTAAACCGTTTTCATCTTCGAGTTCTTTCAAGTCTATGTCCTCACACTGTGTCCAGCTGGAACCTTCTAGGATCGCTAAGACATTCATTCCGACTTCTTTTGCCCTGCCCTGGATCGCCAAGCGTCTGGAATACAAAACCACACGCTTTCTCCACTCCTTGTACCCGGTCAAGGTGTTGTCAAAGCGAGGCACGAAGTTGTCTTTGACATACTGCGATTCGCTACCAGAAGGTGCTGAGCCCGATGCCGTAGGTCTCTTCGGAGATTGCGACATGGCTACAGCACAGGGTATGGAGCAGGAGCTTCGTAGGCTCCGCAGCCAATGTGAAGATATGGAAAGTGATCTTCGTGTTTCAACCGCTCGAAGTGTTGAACACAACTGGAAATGAACAAGTGCAACGTGCAAAGCAAGCACTTCTGTTTTCTCTGCGTTGCCATATGATTGGTAATGCTCAAGGGCCCTGTGGACCCGAATGAATAGTGCCGATGCACCACAAAAGCCCAAATGCAACGGGCGATGCAGGCAAGTCCCAAATGTAAATGATGTTCCCGATGACTTCCTGGCAATCACTGAGTTTGCACTGATTTGGTGGCACCAAATTCACACCACCCTTTTCGATCTTGGGATTGGTGTATGGCAATCCTAAGCCCCAAAAAGATAATAGTCGGTCAAACCCAACTCTGTCCTAGTGGTAAATTAGAACAAATTGATGATGATGATGATGAGGACGATGATGATAATGATATGATGATATGATGATATGATGATGATTGTTGTGTAAGGCCCCAGTAACGGAATGATGATTATTGGACCCCTTGGTTGGTGACCATCAACGATTCGATTATTGGTTGGTAATCAATCACCATGAATGCGGATCTATGACATCCTGCATGTTTTGATGTGAAACCTGATATATATATAAACCATGATGCCCATAAATGGAACTGTGAATAATTGTTGCTATCATGTGCCCAAGCCTCCATATCTAGACGTCCCATGAGGTCCCCCATTGGTGTAATTCACCCATTCAACCTCATTAAAAGGGTTGTTACGATTTTTGGTGGTACCTAATAAAATAAAGAATAATCCTAAACAAATACTATATCCCACAAGAAAGAAATGAGTGGTTACGATCATTTGCCGATCAAACCTCATTTAACCCTTGAAGCTCGATATCTCATGGCGATACATTTCCCAGTGTACTATTGTTAGTTGTATTCCATTACAATATCAATAAGTCATATCAAATTCCACTATCTATTATCCCTTTTTGAGATGTTTGCTTGAATACCACTAAATCTCAATTACTGTATAATATATATATATATATTGAATATTGGTACAAGGTGGTTTCTCCCAGTTATGTTTGATGGGTGATTAACCCTGCTATGGATATATCCTACCATAAACCCAACCGTGAACCAACTGAAATCAACCAACTTTGCCATCATAAAATCAACTAAAAAGAACATGTTTCATGGCTAAAATTCCAAAGTCTTGTTGGTTCAATCGCTATTTGTGGTGGTTTTGCGAGACTCCTATGATTTGGGACCCCACCTTGTATAGTCCATCTCTACTGCTCGTTATGAACCGAGCAATCCAATCTCTTCGTCGTTGTTTAAAATACTTTTTGGGATAGATCACTGATCCCCGTGGTCCACAACATACCATTCCACCACAAACAAAGATTATCCATATTGCAAATTTAATCAGACTTTATGCCAATTCCATTGTTTTCATGAGATGTAAACTAACAGTTTGTGAACTGGAACATCCACCGTCTTTAAGTTCGGTAAATCAACGAACGAAATTACCAGAGGGTGATCCCTTTACACCCCAGTTGATGCGCATTGAATCCCCATCCGAAAAAAAACCAGAGATCTGAAGCCAAAAACCCGAAGTTCACTCACTAGAAAAAACCCCATGAAGCCCATAAAATCCCATTTTAAGTCCCATAATATCCCCATGAAATCCATTGTTTTTGAATATATCCAAGGCTCGACCCCCAAGGCTCAGCCCCCTTTACAGCCCTCAGACCGGAGGTCAATGGG